ACCTATTTATCTGCCAAATGTCCCATACACACTACCCCTCACCCATCCATCCACCCATGACTCAAATGCCCACTCATTTACCTAACCAACACTCACAGAGTTCAACGGTCTCCACACCTACTCACCCCTTCCTTCATCTGCCTCCCAGACCCATGCTCTCCCTGCCATGAGGGAGCTGGTGTGGGATTTGGGGGCCTAGGAAGATGCTCTCATCTGAGGCCTGGGCTTCAATCAGAAGCAGGTGCTGCCCCTAACAATGACAAATTCCTTTTATTGAACACCTTAAACAATGGGTCTTCTACTGTCTAAGAAACTTTAGATCCATTTTACAGATGAGAAAATTGAGGAACTAAGAGAGTAAAGGTCTAAGGTCACACAGCTGGTGAGACTCTCCTTATATTGTCCCTTCCATGAGAACTCCAATTAGGAGAGAAATTGGGAGACTTACTTGAATGGTGGGAGGGGGATGCTTTCTGACTGGCCACACTTAGGGGCAAAAAAAGGCCAGCCATTTTACTGAAATCAAAATTTTACTGGGTAACCTCACAGTGCCAGACTGGTTGGCTTAGGGCTCCACTCCCCACTGTAGGCCACGTGGGGCTGAGGCAGGGGTCGGACAGGCCTTTAAGACGGTATCTGCTCCCAGACCACGTGGGACAGGGTGGGCAGCTCAAGTCGTATCTCCGTTGAGGCAGGGTGGTTTGAGGGGTAGGGGCTGGTTCCGGGATCCCGACGTTCTGGGAAGCTGCAGGCTCTGGACCACATTCCTCAGCTGGGCCTGAGTACTCTCCATCTCAGCCAGACGGTGCTCCTGGAGAGGCAGTGGCAATGGGCTCGGAGCCAGGGGAGGGTTGCACCCCAACCCTGGTTCCCTCACCGCCCAGATCTTCCCCAGGGCTACGGCAGGGGTCTCACCAGACTTTTAAGCCTGTGATCTTCACTGCTTGGAGCACCACACCCTGGATCCGACTGCGGAGTCCTGTGGGGAGCAGGGGCAAGAGGGGAGGGTCAGAGGCGGAGAAACTCCCCTCCAGCTCCTGGTTGGACAGCCAGGAGTTCGGGGGCGGGGCTTGGCGTGGAGGCGGGGTTTGTCCACGCTAGGGGGCGGGGCCTAGATAAACTTGGAGCCCGGACTGGATCAGAGCCTTGAAGAGCTGGGATGAAAGGACCAACCAACTCTTGAGGGTGGGGCTTGGACAGTCCTGGGTGAGGTGGTGACAGGGACGAAGATGTGCCCAGACTGAGAGACGCGGGACCAACCTGTTTGGGAGGGCCTGATTGAGGAGTGGGGCCTGGAAGGTAGGACTCGCCAGGGACCTGGGGTGGGCGGAGCTGACCAAGGGGCGGGGCGAAACAGGGGTGTTGGGGCGGGACTGGAAGGGGGCGTGGCCTGCCGGGAGTGATTTGGGTGTGATTGAGAGGCCTGAATGAAAGTGGGGCAGATCTGATTACAGCGGGCTCACCCAGAGGCAGAGCTAATGGAGGAGGCGGGGCTCACCCTTCACGGAGCCTGGAGTCCAGGTCTTGCAGCTGGCCCTGAAGCTGCTCCTGCTTCTCCGTCAAGGCCCGGAGGTGGGTGCCCAGCGACTCCACGAGGCTGGACAGAGCCTTCTGTTCCTCGCGCAGGGCGGCCACCTCACACTGCAGCTCTGCCAACTGTGGGGAGGGAGCAGATGTAACCTGACCCGTCGTCCCGCCCCTTCTTCTCCCCGAAAAACCCTGACCTCCTTGTCCCCTGCGCTCTGCCATCTCACTGCCCTGCCCCGTTAGGAAACCTCGCTCCCGTCTTACTGAGGAGCAAACTGAGGCTCGGAGAGGTTTGCACTAGGCCTGGGGTCACACAGCGCAGAGAGCTCGGCATTTGAACCCAGACCTGCCTGGCTTTCTGTCTTTCCAGTCCCGTCATTCCCCTCTGTGTGCAGACCTGAGCTGGACCTCACCTTGCCCACGGGTCGGTGCACGCCCAGAACCTGGTCTCTGTCCCGCGGCTGGTCCAGCTGGCGCTGCCACGGCACCGACGGCTTCCGAGGCAACGATGCTGAGGCCCCGGTCCAGGGCCGGCCTCGGGGAGCGGGCCCCGTGCGAAGCGAGCTTTTGGGCCGTGGCCGGGGCCCTGCAGAGGGGCGGCGACGAGCGGGGCGGCCAGCCGGGACGCTCTGCGTGCGCTGCACGGGCCGGGACAGCCGCGGGGGCGGCTCTTGGTCTGGCGGCGGTCGCGCCCAACTACCTGCGCCATGAACGCTGCGGAGAGACTGGCTCTTGGAGATGAGAGGGGTGTGCTTGGGGAGATCCCGAGGAGCCAGGAAGCCGGGCTTGTCCCCTGCAGAGAAGCTGGGGGTGGAATGGGAGAGCTCAGATCAGCCCCTGAGCTGACCCCCAAACCTACCTCTGACCAGAAATGACTCCACCTCTGATCTTTTACTTCTATGTGACTTTGTCACTGATGGAATCACATTTGGATCTCTGACCCTGGACTTCTGACAATACAGTCTTCTCTATGACCCTTGACACGACCATCTCTGTAACCTCTGATTCCAATCTGACCCTGGGCTTGACCTCTGCTCACAGGGATACCCTTTTCCTTCCCTGTCTGACCCCTCCTTTGTCCCTGACCTCTGACCTTAAGCTGATCCTGTCTCTGCCTCCTCACAGACCATGGTCCCTGATCTCTGACCATATGACTTTACCTATAACCCTTGACCCCGTTTGGCCATGGGCCTGACCTCTGCTTACCATATGAACCTGTCCCTGACCCTTGATGGTGCATCTTTTTTTTTTTTTTTTAAGATTTTATTTATTTATTTGAGAGAGAGAGAATGAGAGACAGAGAGCATGAGAGGGAAGAGGGCAGAGGGAGAAGCAGACCCCCTGCCGAGCAGGGAGCCCGATGTGGGACTCGATCCCGGGACTCCAGGATCATGACCTGAGCCGAAAGCAGTCGCTTAACCAACTGAGCCACCCAGGCGCCCTTGATGGTGCATCTTAACATCTGACCCTGATTTGACTCCATCCACAACCTCATCACTGACCCTCATCACTGACCACAATGTCACTTTCTCTGACCCCAAAAGTGACCTCTCCCTGACCTCTGCGATGACCTATCCCCACCTTGGACTCCAATCTGATCCAGTACCTGTCTTCTGACCATACTGTGAACCTCTCTCTGACCCCATGGATGACCCCGTCTCCAGCCTCTTACCTTTATGCAACAGTTTCTGACAGTGAATCCCAAGGCGACTGCTGTTCCTGACCCCTGACGTGATCTTATCTTCACCTCTGGCCCCGGTCTGACCCTGTGCTTGCCTTTGGTCTGGCCCCTGCTCTCACCCATCAGAACTGGGCCAGACCTGAGGCAGGCTGGTTACCTGGAGTGAACTTGGGCTGGGGGTGGTGGGAGCCGCATCGGCACAGTCACAGGTACAGGCCGGCCCTCCTCAATGGCTCTCAGGATGGTGGGCAGCGGTTCCAGGCTGTCACGGGTTGCCTGATGAGGCATGTAGGGAGGATGGTAAACAAGCTCTCTAGGACCATAGGCTCCCTGCCCTCTTGCCTCCCTACCCCACACCCTAGGCTCTGGGCTCTGCACTCTGGCCATACCTGGTCAAGTTCAGCAAAGATGGTGCAGAGCTGGGCGTGCAGGACTGCCAGCTGGAGGGCTAAGTCACTGCTGCCCTGGTAGCCACTGGGTGCTGCATCCACATCCACCATGGCCACTTGGTCCAGGAAGTGTTTCATGGCTGGTCCATGATCCTCCAGAAAGCTATTCATGAAGCCCATGTAGGCCTCCTTCTCACCAAACCTGGGCAAAAGTCGGACTGGGTGGGTCAGACCAGGCATCTGCCACCCCACTGCCCTGGCATGCACCCCTCCCCTCCCCCAGCCTCCCAGCACCTACGGGGCACTGTTGGCGAGGTTCTGGATGACCTTGGCGATCAGTGTGAGGGTGCGGGCTGGGCCAGGTGCAGGGTGCTCTGGTGCCAGACCAAAGAGGCTGGGTGCCAGGATGGCAGGACACAGGAGCCGTAAGAAGAGAGAGGCACACACCAGTCGGGGGCCCAGTGCCTCAGAGCCACGTGCCTTGCATGCTTCTCGCCAGCCTGAGAACACAGTGCCCAGCTCTGCTGGAAACCAGCTGGGGCAGAAGAGGCAATGGTCAAAGGGGGAGGGTATGGACATAAAGGTCATATTCATGTCAAGGTCCTAAGGTCAGAAGTCAGGAATCACCGGCACTATGGGTTCCAGGATTGGAGACATTGAGGATAATAATGCTTGGGGTCAGGATTTATGGGGTAGTTATTGTGGTGACCTCTGGAGTCAGTAATCTGGGAGGTGGGGATACAGGTTCACATGGGGATACAGTCCATGAGCTTGGGAGGTAGCTATAAAGGAACATGAGATTGGGGTGCTAGATTATATAAGATGAGGTAGGATGGGCTTGAGGTTACAGAGTCACCTAGGTTCAGAAATTATGGTATTGATGTTCCAAGTGATGTGGGACTGAACATATAGGTTAACCTAGGGTCAGAGTTTAAGGAATTGGAATCCCTGGTTTCTTGTGATCAGTTGCATGGAATTTGGGGTACAGGGTCATTTAAGATCAAGGGTCATGGGATTGGGGGTTTTAGTATCACCTGGAATCAGAGGTCTTTATTGAGGTCCTATATTAACTGGGGTCAGCTAGCATGGAATTAGGGTATGGGGTCCCCTGTAGTTAGAGGACAAGGAATTGGGTCCCAGGTTCCTTGGGGTCAGTAACCCCAAGTTGACCTGATATGGGGAATGGGTTACCAGACTTAGCAAACAAAACTTCAGGACAAACAGTTAAACTTGAATTTCAGATAAAAATGAATACTTTTTTAGTATAAGTATGTCCCAAATGTTGCATGCGTCCATTTAACTGGGCATCCTGTTTTTATTTGGCAACCCCAATTGGGGGTCAGGGCTATTAGCACAGTGGCTGAGAAGTAGGGCTAGGCTCAGGTGCTGGGGCCCTGATTCTCACTTGCAGGAGTGGATGATGTTTTGGAAGACTTCATCACAACTGTTTCGCAGTCTGGTCTGGTGCTGCGGCAGCTCTGGGGCCGGGCACTTGCTGGGGTCCACCTCACAGTCCTCACTGGAGGCACAGAGACGCTGCACGACCTGCCCTGCAGTTCAGCACAGCCAGACAAGAGGCCAGGGCCGTGACCACCACAACCCACCACACTCAGCCTCCAACTCTGTCTCCACCTTCCTCCGGAGACACCTAACATCTCTGGGGGAGCCCCCAGTTGCCTCCAGGATTCCAGCACCCCCAAAGGTACTACCCACTACCAGCATCCAGGTTACCTAGGATCTTCCAGATCTCCCCCGGGGAGGGGGTTCCTAGCCCGCCTAGATGGCCTCTGACATCCACCCTCTGGCTCACCCAGCGTCTCTTGGAGGTAATCCTGTGCCACCAGCTTCATGTACTCATCAATGGCCTTGGTGGCCAATGTGTTTTCCCGGAATAGCAGCGCCTCACGGCCTCCACTGCGTGCCAGCTCTGCGGTGCCCAGGTCTGTCACCAGTGCCTGGGGACAGTGGGGTTCACGTTGCGCGGGGGAGCGGACGGAGCTAGGGGGCATACGAGCCCTTGGCCAATCACTCACACCTGGGACACAAGCCCGGACCCTCCTAGCTGCTAGAGTCTTCACTGCTAGGGCTCACAAGGTCGGATCCTCTAGCCCTCAGAGCAGAAATTTAAATCTTTCAGCTTAGAGGCTCAGTTCAGGCCCCGCCCCTCACAACTGAAGCTCAGGCCCCGCCCCTCGTGGTGCCCCGCCCCTCGCCTGTGCCGCCGGGGTCCTGAGCCACCGGTACCCCCCAACACCCACACTGCTCCCCGGAGCGCGCGATCAGGCAGCCTCTGGTCACTCGGGTCCGCCCCGTCGCAGCGCCGCACCTGCGCCCGGCCGGTGGCCTGCAGCACTCGCACCATGGCAGCCGCCAGCTCCTCCTTGGCCTGGGCAGACAGCGCGGGCTCCAGCGCCCCGCAGAGGCGCGCGTAGTGGAAGGTGAGGAACTCCGCCAGCTCCTTGTAGCGCTCGGACGGCAGCACGCGCAGGCGCCGCGCCCGGATCCGCGCCCGCAGCGCCGCGCCTGCTGGTGCCCCGAGCAGCGGGAACCAGCGCTCCAGGCCCGCGGCGGGCGCGTGGGGGACGCCCAGCTCTTCCAGGGCCAGTGCCACGCGGCCCAGTGCCGCTCCCCCCAGGCCAGCTCCGCGCAGCCTCAACGACAGGCGACGCGCCGGCGGCAGCGCCTCGAAGTGGAAGCGCTCGGCCCAGAAGAGCGGGCCCGGGCCAGCCCGCGGCGCTGTGCGCGCCAGGAGAGCGCCGTCCAGCCACAGCTCGGCGCGCACGCCTGCGGACCCCGTCGCCGCTCGGGGCAGTCCCTTTGCCTCGTGCACCCACACGCTCAACCACGTCTCTTCCCGCTCCAAGTTGTCCTGCGGACCGGAGTGGGTTGGGGGAGGCGTCGGTGCTCGACGTGGGGCACCGTGCCCCCAGGGAGATCGCTGGGCCCTTGGGGGAAGACAGGGGCCACGGCGGTCTCAAGGTGGTTCTGCGAAAGCCCTCTAGCTTTTCTGGGCTCTCGCAGAGAGATCCGGGCTCCAGGGTACGGAGGAGTAGCCGCGGGATGGGGACTCGGCCATTGCCTGGTAGGCGGGGCTTTGGGTGCAAATAGTTCCCGGATTGAACTTCTGGGACCGGGTTGTTTTACCAGGGGCTGGTAACAGACGGAAGCTGAGGAGGGTCTCGAAGTTTTTGCAAAGGTGTTGGCCGGCAGGTGTGTCTAAGAGGCAGGGTTAGGGCGGGGGGCGGGGGTTTGGGTGGGGAAAGGGCGGGGCCCGGGCTGTGGGCGGGGCCTGCAGTCCAACTTTGCCGCTGTACTGACCTGGTTGGGCTGGAAGTGGCGGCGAAGGTCCTCGATCCAGCGGTCTCTCTCAGCGGCGGAGCGACAAGAGAAGCAGCGGCTCCCGCCCGTCCACGTTACCTGTTGGAGATGGGGATCCAAGGGTGCGGTTGAGGCCAAGGGTAGAACCAAAGAATCTGGGTGAGGTGGAGAGTTCTCTGCATTTACCTGGAAGCAGTGGGGCTCCTCCAGGAGGCTGGGGTGCAATGGCCAGACCCTTACATCCCGCTCAGCACCCAGGTCCAGCTCGGAGAGCGTGGCCAGCGATTCCCGAGATCCCAGAGCACTGGGGGATCTGGGGAGCGGGCGGTTGAACAAGTGGTCATTCTTCCCTCCTCCGCACAAACCCACCCCCTAGAGCCTGAAGGGTGGAGGGAGGCCAGGATGAACTTCAACCTAAATTGGACTTGAACCCATCGCTTTCAGGATAAAAACTCAACTCCTTATGGTGGCCTGTGTTACCTTACATAGTACAGTCTTTGTCACCTTTTGACCACATTTCCCTCCACTTAGTCCCTTTCTCTGAACTCCAGTCATCCTGGCCTTGTTTTTGTCGCTTCATCTGGCTTCTTGGCCTTTGCACTCCCTGTTTCGTACCCTGGAATGCTTTTCCTGTCCCTTCAGATCTCAGCTCAGTGGTCCCTTCGCTGACACTCCCAGCCCAGGGCGTTGACTTAGTTCCTGATTTAGAGTTAGTGTGTTAGACTCTGCCCCCACCCTTCAGCCGAGGGGTGGCTCCAGCATTGCTCTGGGGCAGGACACAGAGGGGGCCATGGGAGATATTTGGTGAAGGTGGGAATGATAGGCAGGTGGGGGTGGAGGGGGCCATGTTGAATTCCAGCCCCTTCTGCCCCTCAGAGACTCTTACCCATCCCGGCAGGCACTGGCTCCGAGCTCCGACCTGGCCTTTTTCTTCTCTTTCAGCCGCTTGAGCAATCCCTGTGGGAAGGGGGATATCAGCTGGACAGAACCCTGTTCTCCCTCCTCAACTTCTTTCCCCCCAGGGTGTCCTGGGTCGTCTGCTGGTTTGGGGAGACCGCAACCTCAGGCTGTTTTAGCAGTAATAATAAAGGCAACCAAATTTTGGGGGGTTTTTTCCTTTTTTTTTTTTCTTTTCTAAAGCACCAATCCTATGCTTTCTCTTTTGACTTCTCATAAACAGCCCTGGGGGGTGGGGGGTTCTCTCATTAGCTCCATTTGACTGATAGGGACACCGAGGCCAAAAAAGTGACCTGCCCAAGAGCACCCAGTAAGAGTCCCCTTTCATCTCTGAGGGTCTGGGAGTCTTTGCTCTCCCCTCCACCTCCCACTGGATGGCTCACCCGAACGTTGTGGACCTGGTTGGGGCCAGCAGCCTCTGCGTCAGTCTTTCCGGGGATCCGATCTGTAGGTGGTCAGGGGTGGAAGGTTGGGGGATGGGATCATCTTGAATTCTGCCCCACCTTGACATGCTACCAATGCCCCAGCCCTCTGCACCTCTGAAACTTACCTGGATCTCTGAGGCTCCCCATGGCTACCTGGAGGCTGCCCTCAGAGCTAGCGCTCCCCACTCGGGGCCGGCGAGGACCCTGTTGTCCATAAGAGTGGGTAGTCATAAAGGGGAGGTAGGCAGGCAGACAGAAGGAGAGGCAGACACTTTCCATTATCCTCCCCCCGCCCACTCTTCTGTCTCCTTCCCACCGTCTTCTTCCCTCCCCTCGCCCCTGTGCCCCTTCTCACCTCCTCCTCACCCCCAAGCAGCACCAGCTTCCCATCGAGCAGGGTGAAGGCCCCAATGTTCCAGATGGGTACGTCAGGTGTGGGGGCCTCAGGGATCTGTGGGGCAGGGGTCTCTTGCTCTGGCTCAGGCTCTGGGCAGAGGAGTAGGTGCTGGGGACCTGGGAGTCCTTTCCTCTCCCTCAGTGGACCGTCTCCATTCAGAGAGGCTCATCAGGCATTCCTTCCCAGGTGTCTCCGCTCCCCCCAACCCCAGCCCACCCAGCAGCCATGTCAGGCTGTTGTTGGACAAGTTTCCACCCCTCTTGTCCTTGTCCCCACAGGCCATGGGTAGTGGACACATGTGCCCTGTACTGTGTTTACTAATCCACCTTCTCTCATTTAATCCTCCAAAAGCTACTCAAGGGCTATTATCACCCCCATTTTGCCAAGGAGGAAACTGAAAACCAGAGAGGTTGAGGGACTTGCCCAGGATCATACAGCTTGTGAGTGGTTGAGCCAGGTTCAGACACAAGCATTCTTCTCTTAACCAAGACAGTAGATAGGCAGGTCCAAGAGGTTAAACAAGACCGCATCCTCGGTTCCTTACATAAATAACTAATCTAAGGTGGAAAGTATTCAAAATTTGAGAAAGGAATAGAAAAAAGATCAGGGTAGGGAGAGGTGGTGGTGCAGTGGGACAGGGAAAGCCTCCAGAGATGGTAGGTTTGCACTGGGTCTTGAACAGCAGGTTGGATTTTGACAGAGATGGAGGGGACAAGGGCAGTAACAGCTTGGGCAAAGGTTCAGAGATGGCAAGGCCCAGGAAAAGCAAGAAGGGCCCAGAGGGCTCAGAGGCTAGAGGGAGAAGATCCAGGATGAGACTGGTACAGAATCTTGGGTGCCAGTTAGAGAACTGGAGGTTTTATCCTGGGGGTAATGGGGAACCACGGGAGGTGTTTGAGCAGAGGAGGAGCAGTCCTGCTTCTTGGAGAACTCTCTCTCTGGATCCTGTGGAGTGAGCAATACCTGATACCCTGAAGGGAGTTAAAGGGATGCCTCTGCAAAATGGGAATATGAACAGTGAGAAATGAGGTTCTCAGAATAGATAGGTTGAATCAACCCTCCCAGATCACCTGTCTGTCCTATTGTTTTCCCATCAGGGGAATAAATACTCCACTTGTTAATAGATCACTTAAATCATGCTGGGCCCTGGGCTAGTGCTGCATTCCTGAACTACAGTCTTCATGGCATCCCTTACTCTTCTAGATCCCTCTGTGGAACAGCCCCATCTGTCGTTTTTGGTTTACTTGTTTACTGTCTGTCATACCCACTACACTGTGAGCTACATGGGGTAGGCAATTCCATCTGTTTTGTTTACTGCTTTGTCCTTAGTGCCTAAATCAAGGCCTGGCATGTCGTAAATGCTCAATAGACCTCTGTTTGAATGAATGAATGAATGAATGAATGAATGAATGAATGAATGAATATGAGTGAATGAAATTATATATGCTTCAAGGTAGGCATTATGATCCCCATTTAACTGATGGAGAAGCTGAGGTTCAAAGAAGTGAAGAAACTGAACATATGGAGGCCAGAGGGCTAAGGTGGATATCCAGGCAGGAGAGAATGAGCCTGGGCTATTGGATATGAGGAGAGACCCACTGGGGCCAAGAGCCATTTGGCATCTGGACAGTACCACCCTCAGTCTCTTCCCTCTCCCTTCCCCAGGATGGACCCCCAGCCCATAGGCCCCTGGCCACTCCCCCTACCCCCCAGTCCCTGTGTGAGGGGGAAGAGGGAAGAGGGCAGCTGGGCCCCAGCCACTTCCTGTTGGGCTTTTGCACTCCCCACAACTTCCTGTGTCTGTAGGGCTGATGCTCCGGAGGCAGACAAAACCCGAGCATCCGGCCTCCCAGCCTGGGGGGGGGGGACCATGTACCTGGGGCCTCCGGCTCTGGTCCTGGCTCCAGCGGCGGGGTCTTATGCCTTCCCCAGAGGGTCTTGGATAGCCGCAGGCGACTTGTGCGTGACTCCTTGGGGGGCGCAGAGAGGACACGACGGAACAGCGAGCGAGAGGCTGGCTGGCTGCTGACCCCTGGCTCCTGGTGGCTTAGCGCCCTTCCCCAGCCTGCAAGTCGGCCCCAGCGGGACCCTCCGGCTACTTTCTCCCCATCGCCCCCTGTGTGCCAACGGTAGGAGGTTAGCAGGGACGAGGCTGCTGCAGGCTGGGTTTGGGAGGCCTTGCACGGTGATGGTGGGTCCATGGCGGGGGTTCTCCTGAGGGACAAGAGGGTGACAGTTCTGCCCAGTGTGTTCCCACATGCTGTCCTCATCTTGGCCCCCTCCCCACTCACAGCTCCACCCCCAGGTAACCCCCTCAGTGGCCACCATGCCCTCCCTCCCTTACCTTGATTTCCCGACCAGCCCCAAAATCAGCAGCCGTCTGCACCCTGCCTGGCTTCCTCCCACTGAACGCAACTCCACGTGACCCTGTCTGTCCCACCCCACCCCACAGCCAGGCTGGGAGGGCACAGTGGGGGCAGGATGCGGGAGGCAGAGGAGGTGACAGAGCAGGACCCAGAATCTCTCATTGACCGGGAAGCCGCAATGCCGCTCTCTGAGCCTCAGATGCCATCTCTGCAGAATGGGTAGACTGACCAAGTGCTGGTGAGAATACAGGGCACCTGGAGCTCTCCTCCACTGCTGGTCAGAGTGTAGAGCAATTCACCTAAGTTGGAAAACTGACATGATCTCCTAACGTTGCCCATACACCTCACCTCTGGCCCAGCGATTACAGTGCTAGGTATACACCCAATAGACATGCCCACTAGCGCTCTTTGTAATAGCACCAAACTGAAGGCAACCCACGTATCCATGTACTGTGGAATGGATCAATTGTGATCTCTTCCTCAGTGGAATACCATGCAGCAACGAAATGAGCAAACCACTGGATGATTGAACGTGGATGAATCACAAACAGTGAAGAGTCAATACCATGTGGTCCCTTTTATATAAAGTCGCAAAGGAGGCAAAACTGTGTGGAACAAATCAGGATGTTAGGTTCCTTTGGAAGAAGGTAGGGGAGCATGAAGGAAGCTTCTCGGAATTGATCTTTTTTTTTTTTTTTTTCCCCTAATGGTGGTGAAAGTCACATAACAAATTTAACATGTCCCGTTTCTTGAACTGGGTGAGTGCTGATTACAAGGGTGTGTTCTGTTGTGAAAATTTATTGAGCTATACAGTTCAGTGCACTTTCCTGTGTCTTCCTCTATCTTTGTTGTACCTCAGTAAGTGTTTACTTGTAAAAAGAGGTGGGCAAATGCTGTTCTAAGAAGTGAATGAGTCAGCATGAGAGTCACTCGAATCCTGGCCCAGAAGTGGGTTCCAGAGCCAGCTGGTCCTTCTCTCACTGTGTGACCTCAGGCAAGTCACTTCCTCTCTCTGAGCCTCGGTTTCCTTATTTGTACAACAAGATGATAGTATTAGCTCCAGAAGGTTCATAATGGGAGCCTTTGTTTACTCAATAAATGTTTCCCGAGTGCCTACTATGTACTGGGTGCTGGAGAAGCCACAGGGAACTAAACAAACCTGGTTCTTGCCCTCCTGGAGCTCAGAGTCCAGTGAGGGAAACAGATCCTGAACATCAATGCAGGACATTTCTAGCTGGTGAGGAAGACTTGGAAGAAAATAGACTGCAGTAGAGGCTAAGCACAAGTGGGAAAATCCAGGAGGGCCTCCCTGAAGAGGTGACACTTGTGGCCCAAAGCATAAGGAGAGGACCATGGGATGCCAGATAGAAGGAACAATTTGTGCAAAGGCAAGGGTGACCAGAATTCACAGGATAGGGTGGGTAGGATCACTTTCATGGGCATGTGGCCTGGGCAGTCATCCAGGACCCCCATGCTTAGAAGGGCACTGCACTGCATTTGATTTAATGCTTTGCTGTTGCTGTCTCGAAGCTTCTGCTTTTTGAACAAGGGGCCCTGCATTTTCATTTTGCCCTGTGCCTTACAAATTCTATAACCTGTCCCAAGGAGTAGGATCTTCCATGAGGGCCAAAGACCCTTCTCCTGGAGCTGGACATGTTCACACAGATGCACACACCTTAGATATGCCCACCTCTTTCATACTGCACTCAGTCCATTCACAGCACATACATACAGAGTTTCCCCATGTTCCGATGTATCCCTGAGGCTTTCCCGCTTCACTGAATACTGATCCACTCCCACTTCCCTGCATTTTTGCTGGAGGTCTTTCTCTGATGCTGGAGTCCACTTTCCCCATACAATAAGCAACCCAAAAGTGCCAGAGAATTAATACCTTCCCTGAGATCAGCCCTTAACC